TTGCTCAAAACCTATGATTATGCTGACCAGCCTGACGCACTGCTAGGTTAGCATGTAACTGTGTAGTAACATAAAAAGTGAGGTTGTCACCTAAAGAGCGGTTTTCAATTGAATGTTGTAAAAACAAAACCAAAGTAATCACTCTGGCCAATCACAAAGGACACAGACAACCCAGTGAACCAATCAAAACTCGAAGTAATTACATGTAGTTGACGCGAAGCGCGGGAAAACGCGTGCGAGTGAGTTACAATTGGTTTTGGTTTTACTTCTGATTAGATGAAAAGTGGCGCGAGTTTTTTGAGCCAATCGTGTAGCGTAGTAATGCAAAACCGATCACTTTTCGACACTCAAATGAAAACGGCTATAAACGACTGGTTGAACGCACCTTGCCATAGTCAATAGTGGGCGTCTCAACTCCAGGAAACAAATCAGACACAATGCCATTAAACAGAGGAAGATCCTGTGAAGTCAACTTGGCAATGTTCATGTCCTTCATGGACAAGAGCAGAATCTAACGGAAAGAAAAAAAAGATAGCAGCAAATAAGCACGTCCTCAGCCCTTAACTCACAACTAAACAAAATGAATAGTCATAAAAATCCTCTTCCCCCGCCCAACCATCCCCACAAAAACTATACTGGAGCACTTTTAGTTACTTTGCCAAGTCATTAACTCACGTTGTCATTCTATACAAAGTTCTCGCTGGATCAGTCACTCTAATCGTCCTGCAGCACGGACATATTGAACATTTCCTCTTTTTCATCATTGGGCTGATATAAAGAAACGTTATCTGTATTTCTATCGACTTCCACCCTAAAGGAACTAGTAGAACACTATTCTTTGCGTCCCCTACGCAGCCGTACAAGACTAATTAAAGGCATAATTCTAAAAGAAGAGTCATTCAGATTCGTTACCACAATCTAAGACACAATGTTCAACTTTTATTCTTTTGAAATTTCTTTCTCAAACTCATTAATAATTCTTCAAGTTTAAACAAAGGAAATCATGTCTGTGATGGTGTTTGGATATAGATTTTTAGGATTTTATTTCTACATTTTCTTCTTACCTTTAGTTTCGATTGAGAAGATATTTCAAACACTCAAGACAGTGTTTGACTATATTTCCAAACACCCTGAAGTTCGTCAAAAATACTCTGCTGCGCGTCGTTTTTTCAGCCCTCTTCTCGGTGTTTGGAATTGTGGGCAAACACGGTCTTTCGTGTTTTATATATTACGTCTCTCTCTCTTACCTCTTCATCAGACATGTCTGGATTTGCTCTCTTCTTCTTACCAGCATATCTTAACACAGACGTGAGAGCTCGGAGACCAAAGTCATAGTGATCTTGTTTAGACAGCTGTTGTACCGCCAAAGAATACAACGTGTGTACCTTCCTTGCGAGCACCTGACAAGAAGAAAAAAAAATGTCCCTACAAATCAGCTTATCTCTACCTCAAGGAGGTAACATGGGCTTGCGGTAAGGAGGTACCAAGTTCCAGGCACTCTCTCTTTTTGTTTGGTAGTTGCGAATTAAACTTCCCCGTGTCCTGCAAGTGAACAGCCAGCCCAGTTATTCAGCCTTTTGCCGGCTGAGATTCTCGACCTTGCCATGTTTGCCTGATATTTGTTTCATATACAGCAACTGCTCAAGGGTAACGCGGGCTTCGGGTAACGCATTGGATATCATGGCAGTTTGGTTTATCTCGAGTTCTGCGGCCGTTACATGGGATAACAAACTTGCAGGTAGGTCATTGAGAAGTCAGAGGGATTGCAATTGATGTTTACATGACAAGGTAGTAAATCTGATAACATCATTACTATTAGCTTGTTAACAGCAATCGGTTTCTGCATAGTTCCAGCGTGGAGAAGGGAGAAAAAAGACCCCGACCACCGC